TGTTTACACAAAGGGTATTAAGAGTTATGACTATATGCTGGAATTATAACTAAAATGTGAGTGAACTAGGTACATCAGTTGTTAAACGGGTCAATCCGAAACAAAGGAATTTGGGCTTACATCAATTTACACATCCTCTCTTACCACAATAGCCATGGGGCAGCCAGTGGTGAAAACCTCTCATCTTTGGCCCAACCCCAGAGCCTGCACACCCCCAGCAGGAGCCCTCACACCCACCACGTCAGCCCTCTGCCCCAAGTCTGAATCCCCCATCCCACACCCTTCATCTTCAGCCCCACCCTACAGCCCATACCCCAACTGAAGCCTTCACCCCCTTGCATCCTAATCCTCGGCCCCTTCCCAGAGCCCCCTTCCACACTCTGAATCCCTTGGCCCCGCCCGCATCAAAGTAGTTTTGTTATGTGTACCAATATGGAGGTGCTGCATCAAATATCACCTCCATATAGCTGCACATAACAAAATTCATTTCACGTGTCTGGGAAAAATGAGAAGGAACACTACAAGACACCCTGTAACAAATGGATCAAGCAACAAAAGGCATATGTTTCTTTTAGGGCTGTCAATTGACATAGGTTAATGCGTGCGATTAACGCAGTCCACGATTAATGAGTTAAATTTTTTAATGCATTAATCGTAGGTGCTAATGCTGTGCTGCCCCCTTTGAAGTGCCGCTGCAGCACTTCAAAGGGACAGCGCAATGCGGAGCCCGGGATCAGCTGGGGACTCCCCAGCTGACCCCGGGCTCCACTGCCCCTTTGAAACACACAGAGGCAGCGTTTCAAAGTAGGAGCCACCTCACAGCTGAGCCAGGGATCTCCTGTGCAGTGACTGCCCCTTAGAAACGCTGCCTGTGCGTATTTCTAAGGAGCTGTGGAGCCAGGGGTCATCTGGGAAGTCCCCAGCTGACCCCGGGCTTCAGGGCTGCCCCTTTGAAATGTGCATGGAGGCAGCGATTTAAAGGGGCAGCCCTGGAGCCCAAGATCAGCTGGGGACTCCTCAGCTGATCCTGGGCTTCATGTTGCACTGTCCTTTTGATGCGCCACCACAGTGCTTCAAAGGGGCAGCACTTGTTGGATCCCGGGGTCAGCTGGAGTCCCGAGCTCCGCCTGGTGCTGTCCCTTCAAAATGCTGCTCCCGCACTTCAAAGGAACAGCACTGAATGGAGACCGGGGTCAGCTGGGTACTCTAGCTGATCCTGGGCTCCATGCAGCAAGGCAGCATTTCAAAGGGAAGGCACGTACGATTAAATTTTTAATTGCGTGATTAATCATGATTACATTTTTTTAATTACTTGACAGCCCTAGTTTCTTTTCAATATCCTACTCATACCATGATTGTCATTTGTATATAAAACTACACTACTCTACCATTACCCTTTAATCCAAAAACATTAGAAAACTGCTCTGATATCATGTCAGGGAATGTCTACACTACCACCGTAGTTCGAACTAGGGTGGTTAATGTAGGCAACCGAAGTTGCAAATGAAGCCCGGGAAATTCAAATCCCGGGCTTCATTTGCATCTTGCCGGGCGCCGCCATTTTTAAATCCCCGCTAGTGCGGACTCCGTCCCCGCGGCTACACGCGGCACGGAGTAGGTAGTTCGGATTAGGCTTCCTATTCCGAACTCCCGGTACTCCTCGTGGAACGAGGTGTACCGATAGTTCGGAATAGGAAGCCTAATCCGAACTACCTACTCCGTGCCGCGTGTAGCCGGGGGCACGGAGTCCGAACTAGCGGGGATTTAAAAATGGCGGCGCCCGGCAAGATGCAAATGAAGCCCGGGAAATTCAAATCCCGGGCTTCATTTGCAACTTCGGTTGCCTACATTAACTACCCTAGTTCGAACTAGGGTGGTAGTGTAGACATACCCTCATGTTATTGAAACGGGCCTTCAAAAACTCAAGGCATCTGACTCTCCTTGGCAACACTAAAGATAAATGTATTATGATGCATAAAAACTGAAATGCTGTATCAAAACGCCTTGCATTTTTATTAATAATGAGTTAGTGGCCACGACTTTTTTTCCCTGTCAGTACCTACTTTTCAAAGTCTTTGAACTGCAGATGACAAGTTCTTTATTAACTGGAAAGAAAAAATACAGTGTTTACAGAAGTTTCTGTATTTGTTAGGAGAGTGGATCCTACTATACTATCTTGGCCTTTCAAACAGAAATTCCCACAAGATTTTTCAAATCGACAGATCCCATTCTTTAGGTGTCAGTCATCGGTAGAAGGAAAGAAAATTTCAGGAATACAAAAAAACGAATATGTTTTCACATAAATATCCTTTAGTCAATATCTCTGCAACAAGTGGTGCCGAACTGTATTAAAAGATTATGCTTTCAGCTGAAACAGAGCACTGGTTGTTAAATGGATTAAGAGCTGGCTAACAGTCAGATCTCAAAAAGTAGTTGTCAGTGAAGAACTATAATTGAATGTGTTCCTAGTGGGGTTGTACATTGGTAGGAACTGTCACATCCTACTCCTTTAAATGGTTGGGCACTCTGTACTCAGCACTGAGCCTCACTTCTGGTTGCTCCTGTTTGTTGCAAGTAAAGACGCCACAGCAAATAACTGTATTTCAATTAGCTCTTCTGCGACAAACTCCTTCTAGGTCCAAATGTAACATCGGCAACAAGAATCTTTGATCCTGTGAGTGTTCAGTGCTCCCATTAGTTGACCAAAAACAAACAAACAATAATAATTTTTAAAAAGAAGAAAAGTGTACCTAAAAAACACAAGTTGGCAGACAGCTACTTATGTTACAGGGGCAGCATTAGCCAGCCAGAAAGAGAGGGGAAGTAGGCAAATAAAAATAATATTAAGTGGTGGTTGTAACTGTTCCTGGAGGTGCTGAAGACAGAGCAGGGCAGGGAGAGGGAAAGCAGCCATCTTGCCCTTATGTACTCCAGGAACAGAGTCTGCCTGTATCCTGCACTGATAGTCTACAGCCAAGAAAAGGACTCCAAGTATGGCCAAAGGAAGGATTCTGAAACTTGCAGAGTAAGCACATAATCAGCAAAAGGAGACAAAGCCATGTTTCAAGAACAAGCAGAAAAGAAAAATGTTTCTCTATGCAAGAGATTTTTTTCCAGAACGGAGTATGGCTGAACACGTGATAAATGAAATGTCAACTTTTGTGGGCAATGTTAGTGAATTAAATGAAAATCATTAATCATGAGAGGTGTATCTCAGAATATTTTGAGCAATTTGTATCCTGTAATTCTATTCCAGGTAGACAATGAGTTTCAACCTTACTTGGAGCACCACGGCCGGAACTGTGCAACCAGGACAGAGCTCCACAGCCACCTAGCTCCGCAGCCAGAGCCGGAGCTATGTAGCTAGGGCCAGAGCTCAATGGCTCCATGACAGGGGACAGAGCTCCCTGGCTGCTGCTGGGGATGGAACTCCACAGCTGTTGATAGGGACAGAACTCCCCACTGTGCTGTCCATTCCCAACCCCATCCCCACACACTGGGTTGCCAGTGCCCCCTAATGTGCTCCTGCCCTGCTGCCAGACCTCCCTTTTCCTGAGCCCTGTGGTTCAGGAACATCCATGCCAGACCACAGATGTTGCCGGACCAGGGAGTTTCAGATAAGGGAGGTACAACCTGTACTTCATTGAGCGTACTATGGTAATCTATATAATCTATAAAAACAATTTAAGTAATTACTTTGCATACCAATTTTACCTTTGCAACAGAATGGTGCAAAACTCAGTACATCTTATAGTCTGAAAATATGCTAGAGATACCACAAATTTAGATGGAGATTCTACAGTCTTACTCTATGTCTACACTACAAGTTTTCTCGGCAAAAGATATGCTAATGAGGGACTCATTTGCATGAGTTGCAATCTCATTTGCATATTTTCTGCGGCTCTGTTTTTGTGCTGGGGTTTTTGCGCAAAAACAGCAGTGTGGACATTTTCTTTTTTGCGCAAAAACTCCAGCACAAAAACGGATTGGCAGAAAATATGCAAATGAGATTGCAACTCATGCAAATGAGTCCATCATTAGCACATTTTTGCCGAGAAAATTTGTATTATAGACGTAGCCTTAGAGTTTACAGAATTTCTATAGACACAGAATACTGGCACATCTGTTTAAGTGCAAGATAACACATCTGAGGAAAATTATTCTAGGTTACAGATATTCCATGAGACAGATAAAACTGGAAAAAAGTAAAGGTGTCAGCTACTTAAATGTGTAAACAGGAATACAGATGCTACCAGAATGGAGCCATATAATGTACTTACAATGCTTACCAAACTATTCTTATGATCTAAGATAATTCACATGTAATTTGACAAAGCCATGTAATTTTTTTCATCCTTACATGGAAAACTATGTGTCTTTAAAAAGTTAGGGTCCATATGTGAAAACAAAGGAAGTGGTAATGGAATTTTTAAATACCTACATTGGCAGTCCATGTAATCAGTGCTTAAGCAATCTGTTCAAATATATCCTTGTCGACAATAAACAGTAATGGTCTTTTAAAATCTGGTACATAATACATCTCTGCATTCCATAAGGAGTGTACTAAAGGTACCTCTACAAAAAACTTAATTTGCATGAGCTAAACATGTATGTGTACATGTAATTTAATTTTCAAAGACTGATAACTCTGAATACACAGATATGTCTTGACTCACATCAACAGGGCTTCTAGAGTAGCTAGACCAGGCTCGCAATTTTGCAGATCTGGTTTTGGAAATTTTGCCCTGTAAAATATCTCAGTTTAGCATAAAACAACATCTTAAAAATTATGATTTGCAATCACAACCCAGACTTGTAAATCCTCCTCCTCCTTTTCCACTACTGTATTCATCTTTCAATGTCATCCATTTTATATCCCGATATAAAACACCACAAAGTTCTTGTATATGGGATGTAAGCCCCTCTCACCTGCCATAGACAACATTTAATCTTTGAAAGTACTTTAGAATGATAATTTTAAATCATATATATCCACCTACCATACTTCTTGTGGCAGGTTTAAAGTTATGCTGCCTTTGATTTCATCCCCAAAGCGCAGGTATCCTAGAGTGGCTAAAGTGATATACAAAATCATTACAATTCCCATTCCAATGTTCAGTGCCTGTGTGAAACGTTGTGTTTCTCTCATCCTATTTTCCAGTGGGAGCACCTGAAGAGAGAAAAACAGGACATAATAAGAAAGCCGAGTCAATGATTTTCAAATGCTACCACACTTTCTCTAAAACTTTTTTGCCCTTGAAACTATTTCTTAAGCTGTCAGGTGTTTATAAGTAGTACTACCAAAGGATCCCAAAGCATTTCACATATTTGTAATTTTATATACACAATGGAAAAGTAGCCATCTCTAGAACAAAGTAATAGCTGTTTAAAGGCACAAAGCAACATCCCTCTATAGCCATGGTATGCAACATTCTAGCTATATGTGGCTATTTGACATAAAAACATAAGAACGGCCATACTGGGTCAGACCAAAGGTCCGTCTAGCCCAGTATCCTGTCTGCTGACAGTGGCCAATACCAGATGTCTCAGAGGGAGGGATCACAACAGGTAATTTTCACATGATTCCCTCCCCTGTCACCCACCTCCACAAAACAGAGGCCAGGTACACCATTCTTACCCATCCTGGCTAATAGCCATTTATTAAGCCATTAAACCTGCTGCCTATTAATTTCATTTGGTGACCCCCTATTCTTTTATTTGGGAATAAATAAATAACTTTTCCTTATTCACTTTTTCCATAGAAGTCATGATTTTATAGATCTCTATCATATCCCCTCTTAGTCTCCTCTTTTCTAAGCTGAAAAGTCCAAGTCTTTTGAATCTCTCTTCATATGGGACCTGTTCCAAACCCCTAATCATTTTTGTTGTCCTTTTCTGAACCTTTCTCAATGCCAATATCTTTTTTGAGATGAGGTGACCACATCTGTACACAGTATTCAAGATGGGGGCATGCCATCATTTTATATAGAGGCAATAAGATATTTTCTGTCTTATTCTCTATCCCTTTTTTAATTACTCCTAACATTCTATTTGCTTTTTTCACTGCGACTGCACACTGAGTGGATGTTTTCAGAGAACTATCCACAATGACCCCAAGATCTCTTTCTCTTCTCTTGAGTAGTTGTGGCCAAATTAGTCCCCATCATATTGTATATATAGTTGGGATTATTTTTTCCAATGTGAATTACTTCACATTTATCAACATTACATTTCATTTGCCATTTTATTGCCCAATCACTTAGCTTGGTGAGATCTTTTTGAAGCTCTTCAAAGTCTGCTTTGGTCTTAACTATCTTGAGCAGTTTGGTATCATCTGCATATTTGCAACCTCACTGTTTACCCCTTTTTCTAGATCATTTATAAATAAATTGAATAGGATTGGTCCTAGGACAGACCCTTGGGGGATCCCGCTAGTTACCTCTCTACACTCGGAAAACTTACCATTTATTCCTACCCTTTGTTTCCTGTCTTTTAACCAGTTATCAATCAATGAAAAGATCTTCCCTCTTATCCCATGACAATTTACTTTACGTAAGAGCTTTTGGTGAGGTACCTTGTCAAAGGCTTTCTGGAAATCTAAGTATACTATATCCACTGGATCACTCTTGTCCACATGTTTGTTGACCTCCTTGAAGAACTCTAGCAGATTAATGAGGCATGATTTCCTTTATAGAAATCATTTTGACTTTCTCCCAACAAATTATATTCATCCATGTGTTTGACAATTTTATTCTTTACTGTAGTTTCAACTAATTTGCCCATTACTGACTTCAGACTTACCAGTTTGTAATTGCTAGGATCACCTCTAGAGCCATTTTTAAATATTGGCTCTAGACCTGTTGAGTATGGCTAGTTAGCTTGAACAATGTGGCTGTTTGACTGGTTGAGTGTGGCTATAACTCAGGGCAGGTATGTTGAGATGAAAATGCAAGAGTGAACTTCAGAATGGAAGTTATTCATGCTAAAATGTGATCAGGACACTACAGGTAATACACCTAATCTTAATATGATCTATTTGTTCATTACTATATAATTCATCATTGCTGAAACCAAACCAATCACCTTTCTAAGGAAATAGGTAATAAATTCTCATAATAAAAACAAATGGTGCTTTCATTTTAAAAGGATAGTCCAACTGGTCTGCATAAACACAGTATTTGAAATCACATTTAAGACATATACCAAGATAGTGCAGACATCCTTACCGAAGCATATTTTTCTACCTCTTGCAGAACAGCTGTAGAAGTTTATCAGAGTTACGTGGCAGTATTTAAACATCTCTGGACAATGGAATTTCTGTAGATTCCCCAAGTTCCTAATGTTTTTCCATCACTTAGACAAGAACACTAGGGGATAAGTTTGAATTAAGATATGCAGCTCCTGCTATATTAATTGCGTAGTTTGAGTCAAAGTATCTTAAATCGAATTTTGGTGCTGTCCACACTGTGGGAAGTCGAAGGGAGCACACTTGCCCTTCAACTTCCCTTACTTCTCATAGGAGCAGGACTACTGGCATTGATGGGAGCACCCTCTCAGATCGAATTAGTGTACTTTCACTAATCCTGCTAATTTGAATCCCGGAAGATCGAATGCAGAAGCTTCAATCTTCTCTGTAGCATAGACATGGCCTTACTGAATTGCATCACTTCTAATGTCTTTGAGCTGATCCTGGCAAAAGTTAGAGAAGAAAACACTTCACTCTTCTTCCAAACAAAGATTGGACAAAAGTTACAGAAGGATGAGAAAAATCTCTTTTGACACTAAGGGTCAGATACTTACTTGGTGAACGTCCAGCAAAACTAAATGCTTTTGTTATTTAATCTAGCTGAGAATTGAGCCTACACAATGTGTTTGATTAGAACCAGGAAGTGAAAGGTTAGTTTAATTTAGAGCTATGTTGCCAATCTGGCTCACATCATGAACGATCAGTGGAATAGGGACTTATAAGGGGGGGGGGGCGCGTGTTCTATCCACCTTTAATGCCCCAGAAATGTCTAAGACTCTGTCCAGTAACAGACAATTTCAAGTGATTTATATACATTCCCTTCACCAAACACAAATACAAATTCATGTAGCAAATTATTTCCTGTGCTTCTCTACCTTTATCCTTTCCCATAGGCTTCCCTTCCTTGACATTACTGAACACATTAGCCTCAGCTAGTCCAGGACTACTTTCTCCAAATTCCTTCCCGTGTATTTTTTTATACCACTCAGCTGATGGCCTAATTGGTTCACTAGCCATCCAAGACTGATCAGCTAATTAGCTGTATATCCCCAATCTGCCTTCTCCTAGTGAACTGAGTAGTGCCTAAGTGTTTAGAGTGCTGCGTCACTTGTTAGCTTCCAGCCCACTTTCACAGGACTAGATCGAGAGCAAATGTATTCACAGCACAAAGCCACTTAAATCAATGTAATTCAGCTACTACTTAAAAGAGTGAGAGAGAGAGAAAGTTGTAGGTAATGGTTAAAGGGCAACTACAAGGCCTGTGGAGGTAGGCCAGTCCTTGCCCACAGACACCCCGCCAACCTGAAGCATATTCTCACCAGCAACTACACACCGCACCATAATAACTCGAACTCAGGAACCAATCCTTGCAACAAACCTCGGTGCCAACTCTGCCCACATATATACACCAGCAACACCATCACAGGACCTAACCAGATCAGCCATACTATCACTGGTACATTCTCCTGCACATCTACCAACGTAATATATGCCATCATGTGCCAACAATGCCCCACTGCTATATACATTGGCCAAACTGGACAGTCCCTACGTAAAAGAATCAATGGACACAAATCTGATATTAGGAATGGCAACATACAAAAACCTGTAGGGGAACACTTCAATCTTCCTGGACACACAATTGCAGATCTAAAGGTAGCCATCCTGCAGCAAAAAAACTTCAGGACCAGACTTCAAAGAGAAACTGCTGAGCTACAGTTCATCTTCAATTTTGACACAATCAACTCTGGATTAAACAAAGACTGTGAATGGCTCGCTAACTACAAAAGTAGCTTCTGCTCTCTTGGAATTCACACCTCCAGATCAGCTACTAGAAGTGGGCCTCATCCTCCTTGACTGGATCCACCTTGTCATCTCTAGCCTGCTTCTGGCCTGCATATTTATACCTGCCTCTGGAAATTTTCACTACATGCATCTGACGAATTGGGTCTTTGCCCACTTCAGTTAGTCTATAACGTGCCACAGGACTCCTCGCCGCTTTTAAAGATAAGCAAGCAGACCAAAGAACATATCATCTCACTTGTACTGCATTGTCTTACCAACGTACATTATTCAGTAAAATATATTTTATATTATTCCTTCATCTATTTTTATAGCAAATGAAGATCATATTTAAAGGTTGTTGTACAGTCTTCAAAAGTGCTGCCATTTCTAAAAGACACTCTGACGCTATATATTTCCACTTTTTAAGTATTTCGCTGCCAAGGTAATCTAAAGAATCCACAACTTCTCATTTATTTAGGTTTCTTTTTTTCTAAATTGAAATAGCTAACTAGAAACATTTATGGCCTCGAGAGAATATTTGGATGCACACATCCCACCAAAAACCTCAGACCCTAAAATAATGTGGATTAAGTCTGAGAGGACTGCCTTCACTTCACAAACAGACCTCTGTGTCTTTGATGCCACATTTAAAATAATCAAAAGGGGATCTAGTGGACGCAAAAGATACTGATTTCCTTATATGATACTATATTGTCCTATTTAGGAGACTCTTTTACTTCAACTTACACTTGGTCCATTGACCATTATCTCCAGGCTGTCACCAATAGGGGCATTGTCAATGCAGTACCTCTATCTACATTTTTAGCACACTGGTCATACTGGGGCAGACACCACATTTAGGGCACATCTAGACTTGCTTTCACTTTCAAAAGATATGCAAATTTGGTGCAAATTTGCATATCTTCTTTCGATCACTTTTTTCAAAGAGGTTCTTTCAAAAAAGAAAGTAGTCTAGACGTGGTTCTTTTGAGAAAAAAACCCTTTTTCAAAAGAACTGTTCTTCCTAAAAAAATGAGATATACACGGTTCTTTCGCAAAAGACCCTCTTTCGAAAAAGCGATCAGAAGAAGCTATGCAAATTTGCTCTGAATTCTCATATCTTCTTTTAAAAATAAAAG